AAAAGCTTATAGTATGCAAAAAGTGTCGCCGGTTCCGATGGTGTATTCAGTTTTGCGATCCGATGCTTGGTTCTTTTTTAAATCCGGAAAAGGGCCCCAAAAGAGTCGTATGGGGGGGGTACCTCAAACCAAAACGGGTTAGCGGGCTACGCCCGCTAACCCCGAGTCTTGTTCAGAATTTAATTCTCTATCGAATGAGCTGGGTCTCGAATCGTTTTGCCGATGACACCAAAAGGACACTCCTTGTAAGCCTACCTACGCCTAAGGACCACCACCTTCTCCCTGAGTTGGAAAGAACTGGGCAGTCTTAAAATGGACCCCCTCAGATGGCTAGGTGTCGACATCCATGTCAGGAAAGTGCATAAATGTCAAGAGCTAGTCGTTTTAAAGGGTCGATTCTGGTTCCTTGAAAGATTCTAGGTAGTAAAGAGTAAAACGGACCAGTAACAATGAGTAAAACAAAAGATTTAAGATACCTAACGAGTTTTTTAGTTCTAACGCCACTTGGCCCAACTACCGTACCTCGCCGGCACCCAAAGAGACCCAGCCGAAAAACCCCAGGGAGGAGATGTTAGTGCGTGTGGTGGTTGGGTGGGTCGGTTGAGCAGCAGCCCCAAGAAGGAGTTGGCGGTGCCCCCCTTGAAACCCAATTTCCCTCGTGGAGCTATCATAGGGATCGGCCCAGCAGCCAGGAGGGCCACACCAACCCCCGACGACGGCTCTTTGATGGCACCTAGGGCGGCTTGGCGGAGGGGGGCCACATCCCGGTAATACAATCAGACACTCCACCCCCAGTAAGGCAGGGATAGGAGGCCGAGGGATTGAGGCCCATCTCGTTGGGATTGAGGCTGAACGACGGGTTGAGCAACAAGTAAAGTTCGTGGTCTAAGGATGCTCTATGGAGCTGCAGCCGTGCCTTCTCCGCCCCTTTAAAAGCGTGCCCCGTTAAGCGCATGCGGTCCGTCACGTGTCTCGTTCCTCGTTCTCTCTCGCTCCGCTTTCTTGCCCCCCTTTCTATTTCCCGCTTAGCCTCTCTCCTCTCTTTGCTCTCTCTCTCTCTCTCTCTCTCTCTCTCTCTCTCTCTCGCTCGCTTTCGCCCCGCCCTCTTTCCCTCTCTCGCTTGATATTTCTATTTATCTCCTTTTCTCTCTCACCAGAATGACACGAAACCCGACCGTAGCTATCCACCAGGTACCAAAATTTTTTAAATAAGCTGCCTGAATTACCGTAGTTACCGTAGCCGTCTTAAAGCCAAGGAATAAGGCAAGCCCGCGAAACTGCACCAAAACCCAATATTGGCCCTCAGTCAATTACCACCAGAAAATATTTGTCCAAAAAAATTATAATGAGCAGGTGTCGATTGGAGGGGAGTGGAGTCGGGCCATCCCCCCCCCCCTCTCGGGGGAATCTTGGCGGCCCGAAATTGGGGTCTGGTGGAGTGGGGGGCCCGGCAACCACCACTTCCTACCGATCTCTTCCGCCCCTCCACCGCTTGACTTCGAATTGATGAGCGGCTAATTGGAAGAATCTCCCAGGGGAGCGCCAGGGCCGACCCAGAAATTTTTCCAACAATGAATTGAGGGTGGGTGGGCTGCTCATGGCAAAAGATGGGGAAAAATTACTGCCTCCTGTAGCTGCGAAGTGACGAATTGGAGGGTGGCTGAAGATGTGGCGAGGCAAATATCTGACAAATTAAAGGGACTAAGAAGGGCCGAAGTCGACGCTTTTTAGACTGGGTCTAGCAAGTTCTGGCTATCTTCGATTTCCGCTATCGATTTTTGGACAACTAGCGTGTTTTGAATCGCGAAAATTTGTCGAGACCCAGTCCGACGAAGGGTCGATTTTGGCATTCTCTAAGCTCTTTTGAGGGCCATTTAAGTCAAAGCAGCACGATGCATGGCTCGTAAATTCAAGGAAACATTCAAAACGTATCAAACATCGTGGCCTGACAAGCAGGAACGCTTTAAAGCCGGCAAGCCGGACTTTTTTTTACAGGTAAAGAAGTGCGGATCAAGATCAGGATTATAGATATAAACTAAATTTTAGTAGCCACACCGAATTTAAAAGTATTCTACCGCCCAGCCAGGCCCAGACACCGGTTTAGTATTTTCACCGAAAAGCCCCAGCCTCCCTCGAGCCACCCCTTGAAATTCGCCGTTCCGCCTGAGCTGGCTGATACCAAAAGACACATTGGAGGGGGGGGGTTAAAAGGAGAAGACGTGAGCCCCGCATCAAAAATAGGGACTAATTCAAGCGGAATCCCCAGTGTTGGACCCCCCCCCCCCATCCACTGCCGGTAAACGGGTAATTGGGAGCCGGGGAGCATTTGGCTAAATTTCACCCCCCACGGCTTCTCCTTCTTCTTCCAAACTCCGGATGGGTGGGTTTGTGACAAGTTGGAAGGGGTGGATGGTTGGCAGGTGGGGGGGGCTACGGATGGGTGCCGGATATTGGATGGAAGAAGAAAGGAGGGAAGGTGGGCCTCACATTAAAAAGGTGTGGCCACTGAGGAGAAGCCGCAGAGGGGCGAGGAGATTGACCCACTTCCGCACCGCCAAAGGGTTATTGGCTTTTGGATTTGATCTGGGGCGAGCGGAGAAGCTGAGGTGGGGCTACCAGTTGATCGTTTTGATCTGGCTGAAATATTTGAATTTTCGGATTTTTAAATAGAAATAGCTAAAAGCTAGATAACCACTCTCCTCCAAACCCACCATCCCTCATTTTTGAAGGCTCTCCCAAAAAACCCAGTGAAAGGAACACCTCCAAATACAAAAAGCCGCCCCAGCCAGACCCCAGTGATGATGGTGACTGGCAGACGACATGGCTGTGAGTGACATGACGATCAACCCGCCCAAAAACATCACCAAACACTGGCTATCGGCCCCCAAAGATTGCCACATTAATGGCAGGTATGCGCCTCAATGAAATTGCTATAATTTAAAGGCTTGGCAAATCAGCGACCAAATTCAAGCGGCCGGATTTTAACTTACAAGGAGTCATGTTTGATGCCATGGAATTGCGCGAAGCGACATAGCTCCAAATTCGGAAGGCATTTTACCAAAAAAAGGATAAACGATAGCGTCCCAAAAAAATATATATATATTTCGTTAAGGACGTGCGAAAACCCGCAAAATTGGGTCCGAGAGCGTGGTCGTCCAGCAACTTTTGAAGGTAAGAGCTACGCAGATATTTGAGCTCTACTAAATCAACTAGTTTACATAGCAAAAGACGTCTAAGAAGGATAGGGTCAACCGTAAGAAGCTAATTCACAAAACCTTAAAAAGTTCAAAAATCGGAAAATGACGGTGGAAAACAGCCAAGCCCAGACAAAACTTCACCGAAACAATGCCCGACTAACTTTCCCCCGCCCCACCTGATGCCACGAGTTTGGGTCGGTTTGGCTGTGTGGTTGCGGCCGAAATCCGACCCGACACGGTCTTCTCCTCCTGCCCCAGGTGGTTTTGGTCCTCCCAAAAGTCGTCTATACCAGCAGCTCGAGTTTCGGAGCCCCAAAGTCCTTCTCAAAAATCGCCCAAACGGTTTTTGGGTGGTCCCCTCGGGCGATGGTGTGGTGTCAATTTCCAGGGCCAACTGTTTTGTGGGGATGGAGACAAGTTTGTGGGGAATTTGACAATGCGAGGGGATGACGCCTTGTTACGGCACAAAAATTGAGTCAGGACTTTCAAACATCTTGAAGGAATTGAGGAATTAATTGTATTCAATATTCAGAAAAATTTTTAGGATCTGAGTACACGATGAAAGCGTCCGACAGGTTCTTAGAAAAGTTGTTAGGGAAAGTAAGATAAGTGAATAGAATTTATAACTCACATTTTACAGCAAGGCTCGTGCACAGTTGCAAAATCAGTTAGTCGTAGACTGAAAACAGGACATTTTAAATGCAAAAAAATCGACATCGAAAATGACAGAAAACCACGATTTTCAACGTTTGATTAAATGAATAAAAGGTAAGAAAACTAGGTCACTAATAAATAAAACTGGTGGAACAAATTTCCATGAAAATCAGCGCCAAATTTCTCTAAGACATTCAATAATGCACCCCGGCTCTTCCGGTCCATTCCGGGCCGACTGGCAAGAATTTTACGACCTGCCGCTGCCCCGGTTCGCGCCAAACAAAGAAGGGCACATGATTGTCGACCATTTCTCAGGTGGAAGTGCAAAAATTGGAATAAAAACCAATGCTTGTGGAAAATAAATCAGAGTTCGTAAAACCGGAATTCCGGAGAGTGCATTTAGGAAACGGGAACACGCGGAAAAGCAGCCGGGGGCAAGGCACCATGTTATCAGCGAAAGGTCACGCTCCCCCCCTTTTGTCCAAATCTCGCTTTTATCAATTTTAGGTAGGGTGGGGCATTTAGCAGGGCTTCAAGAGGCGAGAAAAGATCTAGGAATTCGTAAAAAGGTGATCTTTAGGAGGAATAGACTTACGGTAATGAAATTAAATACATAATTACGATAACTATGATAAAACCAAGTGTAAAAGTTCTAAATTGAGCACGAGGGGAGTCATACGACGGAATTATAGGCATAGGGCTTCAAAAGTACGCTCCCCTAAAACCAATTATACCCTTTTTCTTGTGATATGTCGCGAAACAACCGGCCGGTCTCCGGGGCAACAAACAAACGCAAAATCGGGCGTAAAACATCAGAAGTTTTTGATTTGTATTACGATAAACTAGATACCGTTTTCAGCATGAAAGCTCATACAACGCTACAACCATTTATATTCCTTGGTAAGGTATCCTGCAGCCCACAAAACTTGCCTTTTAAGGCCCTCTCGCTCAAGGAAAATCGTCGGTAATTGCGACGTTACTTGGACAGCCCTTTAAACGAGAGTATCAAATGGTGAGGCTACGATGGATCCAGATATGATTTTTCGAGGCGTTTAAGGCGCTTAAAACACCTTAAGTAATTTCTTCTAGACCCTAACAGCGCCAATGTATCTCAAACCGGTAGAGCTGGGTAACGATACCTTTGCAACAATGTTGCTCATCGATACGCCTGGTTTGGATGTGATGGAATACGTGACAGGTTTGTAAGAGCGTACGGATTTTGATAGGCGCGAAAAACGGCTGGCCATACTGTGTGTTTTCAGCCAAATTGAGCACCGAAAACGTGACCTTTTGCTATGTATTCGACGCAAGCCGACAGGATGGTTTACGCTTAGTCATGGAATGCATTAAGAAAACAGCGGCGATTCGGGGGAAAGAAGTTGGTGAGTCAAATGGAGTAAATTAGTCGTAGAATTAATGTATTAATGTATTTTATACTGAGTTTAGTGGAAAGAAAAAGTCCCCATTTTTGAAAATAAAAACTAGAAGCGTTTGGGTACATTTTGTTCGGTGATCCAAAATTAACTTGAGTCGGCTAATTAAACAAATTGCACTTAGTTTTTGTAGCGTACTTTTTTGCTTGCCAGATTTGAAGAGCGCCAAAAAAGGATTTTTCATAAAACTTTCAATGCAAAGGCCTTCATTGGTTTTTAAATTGATCAAAGATTAATTCTTTTTTATTAAAATTGCTACCATAGCGTTTCGAGGACCAAAGGGGCGAAATACAGCATAATTAACAAAATCCACGCAGTCAAATTTTTCCATGAGCATAAAAAGGAAAACGCACGTTCGAAAATCAGCACCATCTGAAAAGGCGAAAATGAAAAACCCGGTTATCGCCGTAGCCAGATTGGTGTGTTTGGTTGGACCGGACGGCCGGGGGAAATCGAGAAATTTGGCACATCCTCCTCGACGATCCGTTTGTGGGGGCAGAGCTCCGGGGCGAAAAATCGAAAGTTGGGGGGGGATGGATCGGGGGTGGACGAGAACATGCTCCTCCTCACCATCGCCCCGGCTTGCCCCCCAATGGACACGACCGTTTCACCCCATTTTCGCGCATGCTCATCGCTTGCTAGTTCCCTGCATCTGCCCTCTCTCTCTCTCTCTCTCTCTCGCTCTCTCTCTCTCTCTCTCTCGCCCGTCCATCACGGGGGTGAAAACGCGCGATTCCGGATTGACGCCTCGCGAAAATTTTGAGCCCCGGATATCCAAAGTGAAAGGGGGTGGGAAAGGGGAAAGCGAGAGTTAAAATAGGGGGAATGGGCCAATTGCTTGTCAAGATGCTGGATTTTCGATATTGGATTACGGTGACCGGGAAAAAGCGAACACGAAAGCTGAGGTTTGCATTATTAGTTTTCTCGTTTTTTTGCACAGGCTCTCGTAATAAAGACAGTAAAAATACCGACAGTAGGTAATACCGGTAGACAAAAATGCCGACAGCACGTCTTAACGAAATTAGTTAAGCCCAAACCTAGCTATAAGGCCGAAAATGTTTGGAATAGGCGGGATTAATCAGTGTCCGCATTACGGACCGTCAGCAGGACAAGTGTCGGCATTTTGTGTGCCGGTATTCTTGCACAACTCGATTTTTTCAAAAGTTTTGGCCGAAGCCAGGAAACATTGCACAACTGGCCGCACTTCCGGAAAATCACCCCGATCTAGCTAGTACAGCCCTGGGCGCAAATTTTGTCGTTATGACTCAGAATAGTGTAAGAGGGCGCCGCAAGACAACGGTCAGCCGGGTCACTGCAAAGGGTTTCATGGCGTATTTTCATCAAATCTCCCATACCAAGAGCTTTTAAGGGGAATGGGATAGCAAAATTCCGCGCAAAAATCCGCGTTTTTAGAATATTAAACGTAGCAACTACTTTAATAGCAACTAGCAACATTAAGAAGAAGAGCCCCAGGTATCCAATTACCACAAAAAAATCCCATAATAATTAAAACCATAACAAAAATCCGGGGCCCTATATCGGAAGGAACAGTCCTCGGCTCGGTTCGAAGGTGAGAGGTATATGAGGGAGGGGGCAAGCCGGCCGAATGTAGCCACCACATTGCAAGGCGAGCAAGAGAGAGTGCAGAGAAAGAGAGAAAACACCGCGCCGAAAACAGCCTTGGATCGTCCCGAGGGGCGAGGGTCGGTTAGAAAAAAACGAAGGATTCCCCCTATTTCGCTCCCACACACTCGCATACACACGAACGGACACTCGTTTTCGGCCCTTTCACCCGTCGTCCGGATCGGGCTACTGACGGGGGAAGATGGGTGCTCAGTTTTGGGACTCGGGCTTTTGAAATTTTGAGGGGGAATCAGGTGGAATTTGGTCCTTTGGGAAAAAGCATAGTGAAGGATTGAGCTATAGGAAACCTTATTACCTGCGAATTTGTCGATGCATTCAATGACGACAAGGATCTTCGCGTGTGGACGCGTTGCGTCTCGCATTAATTCCTCACTGACGGCCTCTAGTGGCCTCTAACGTTCTCTAGCAACACGCAGCGCAACCGCACGCGTCCACACGGATGTGTTGAAGCTATGAACCTGTGAGAAGTCTTAAGAGATCGAAAACAGCGGCCTAGCTTGAAGCCCTAGCTCCCGTCGGCCCAAGACCAAAATTTAGAGACTTATAAAAAATTATTCATGCGGCAAAAATTGATATCTTTCCATTTTTGTCATTTCCAGAAGCATGCTAAGACTAGAACGCGATAATAGATATAACATTCCGTTATTCCAGGCTACCTCATTGGCACCCACCACGATCTGCGGGATGGCTCGGTAATACCTCAGATAGATGGGGCTACGGTGGCCGAAGAAAACAATTTGTACTATGTACAATTTGACAAGGTATTGCCGGCTTCCATTAAGACAAAAAACTTGTTTTAGAACATGCGCACTGATGACCTCGAAAAAGAAATGCTGCAAGAATACACGCGCAAGCTCGAGTCAAATGTCAGATCCAAATAAAATCTGTATAACCAACCATTTATTTATATAATTACAGCAGAATAAAATACATATTGACCCGTGCATTCAGTTTGTTTTTCCGCGATAGTCGAGATTCCGAGAGTAAAGCCCGTACAAGTTGTAGTTTAGAGTGTTTTTTTCATAAGACTTGGAGGGTTCTGGATCGTCGTAGTTTTCTAAATAAAATTTATAAATTTTTAGAAAAAGACCTACCTTCCATGATCCAACAGCAAATATAGATGCGTAAATATATCATCTAACCCATCACCATTTTTCGCTGAACATCCACGAATACAGACACGTTTTAGCCTTTTTAATCGCAGCGTCTAAAGATCTGGCCTTTTAAGGTAATCTTTTCATACCATAAATAAGTCTTCTGGCTGCTTGGCTTCAATCAAATCCTGTTTATTCGCTAGGACCATGACTATCGCGTTTTTTGGAAAATCTGCAGCGCTAAAAATTTCAAAACTGAAAATTGAAAACTAGAGCCACCTGACAGTAGAATGCAGCAATTCTTTTGCTTTGTGAAATTTGTGAGTATCGGCTGAATCAACGACGAATAAGATGACATCAGCAGATCTGAAGTATGTGTTCCAGGCGCTTCTAGAAAGGAAGAAACCCTAATGAGAAATCCAGCGAACGAAGGAATGGGAATGTCTACAGGGTGTCCCAAAAAAAATCCCCTTAGCCGGCCGTAGACCACGCGATTTTTACGATTTAGGCATCTATCGAAAGCTCTCGAGAAGGGCGATGTCGGGACGCCTGGTCGATTTTCGAAATGTCGAATTTTTTATCATTTACTAATGTTTTTGGCTGAAAAGCGCGGATTTTCTGATGTTTTTCTGAGAAGGCGTTTTTTACAAAAGTCGCAATTTAAGACTTTTATGCCTTTCCTGGCAGCCCAACGACAGCTCTTTGAGAAGCGTTTGCGGAAACCCAGCTTGGATAGCGCTAAACCGGTTAAATTGCGTTTTGGACAAAAGCGAGTCCTTTTGCCTGAAAAAGGCCGAAAATCGAGCAAAAAATTTCGACATTGGGAAAATCGACCAGGCGTCCCGACATCGCCTTTCCGAGAGCTTTCGATAGATACCTCAAATCGTAAAAATCGGACACATGTCTGCGGCCGGCTAGGGGGATTTTTTTGGGGACACCCTGTACTTACCTAGCCGTTTCATTTCGCTAGCATCCCAGACCGAA